CTACGAGCCCAGAAATGGGTCACGGGCGCTCCAGCTCCACTCGGACGGCTGAAACAAGACTCCTGCTTTTATTTTTTTTTCTCGAGTAATGAATTACAGGTTTTTCCGCCGACTGAAGCTCAATTATATTGCAGCTCCTGAAAGCTTCATCATGCCCAGGATGAAGGAATTCAACGCGTAAGCAAAGTCAAAAAGAATTGTTTAATTGCACCAGTATGTCTCAGTATAATCTCAGAGCAAGAGCAAGAAAGAGGAGGCGAGGAGGCAACATGAGCAAAGCACAATGAAAAGAAAAATACAGCAGTTGAATCAACTAAATCATTCAAATTACTGATTGAGTATCCTGATGATCACGTTGGGCTGCACAGTGCGGGTCAATATAATTCCAACATTTTGCAAACCAAATAATGCATTTCCTGTCAGATTTACTAGTTTTGAGGTGTGTTTTTGAATGCGTTTAAATGCAGAAGCAGCAGGAGGTTTTGCTGCCAAGTCGAATCCACGCATCGTTCTCAGCCAAAGGAGTAAAATGTGGTTTTTCCTGTTTCGTGAGAAATTGGCAATTTGAGATGGATCGGTTACCATTGGACAGATACGCCGGTGTTCCTTAGAAAGGTGCAGCAGAGTGAAGAGTAATGTTGGAAATAAAGTGACAAAATGTAATATTGATACAAATTTTGCCAGAACGCGTGACTGACTGAAGCGAACGTAGCAGAAGTTTCCTTTAGTCTCGACTGGCGAATACCGAAGGCGCACAGCTACTACAGACGGCTGCTTCGGCTCATTCACAAGCCGCTCACACACTTTGTACAGAATCCAGTCACAATCTGGTTTGAACATCGCAATCTCTCGAAAATGACAGATGTCAACCTCATTTGAGGTTCTCACATCAGAAAGGATTTATCTCCTCGGTGCGTCGTTTCCACTCTTGGAACTCTGCTGGATTTTTATGAAAAGAAGTTTTCTGCTTCTACGATCACATAAGACAAATCTAGACATTTCGTCACAAAGAGGTTGTCAATTACGACACTACATGATCACGATTATCAGGATTATACATATAAACTTGAACACCGAATTTTTAAAATCAATAGCACAGAGAAAGAAATGTTAATCTTACATAAATCCTCCCTGTAAGAATAAAAGACCTATAGATGAATAGGCTTTTTTTCTCCACATGATAATTCATCGGTATTGTTGAGCCACAATGACCTTGTTAAAAAGGAAAAGCCCGAGGATCTACACACAAACAAGTGTTTCTGATGTGTGTGGAGCATTTCTATGAGTGTTTCTGTCTGGGTTCGGCTGGATCAGAAGGTGACGGCTGTGTTGTGGTTTTAGGATGAAGACCAACGACTTCACAGTGGATCTGATGGAAACTGGAACAACAGAGTAGTGTTCGAATGCTCAACAGGGAGCATAGGAGGGGGAGGACGAGCGAGAGAGGAGAGAGAGAGCGAGCCGGCCTCCAGCACATTCCCCACAAGACACTCACTTCCTGTCTGTGAGTCTTACTCAGCACCCAGGAGGAAGAGGAGGATGAGGCCCTCACACATATTCACCTCATTATGCGGGTAAAGAAGCCAGAGAAAGTATTCTCCAAACAATAAAAAGGGAAAACACAGAAAATTACAATAATTACATCTACCCACCTCGGGGGAAGAGGTATCACTGGCCTCTAAATGAATATAGTCATGTTATTTTGTGTCCTACAAATTAACTCGTGTGAAAAACATTTCCAACACACATGTACAGAACAACTCACACGTATCGTTCGCTGCACAAAGGGCATCAGGCGAAGCAGCAGTACCTGCAGACCGACAACACCTGATGAAGGCCTTGTACCTGCTCAGGGGCACAGAATGCAACCACTGTGTTTTCCATTCTGAGAGTCAGCCTCCCAATAACCGTCCACAGCTTGGGAGCGGGAACACAAATTAGTTCAGTGACGAAAATGATTCACGTCGCCTAATTGCAGGCTGTTTTCTTTTGTTGCAGTTAGTCAGCAAACAGGTTGTGAAGTTGTGTGCACACTCTGGCTCAGCAGGGGGTCGTGTACAGTCACTAAACTCCCAGCGTTCTTAGTCTGAGGAACCTCAAATTGAGCAATACACAGGTGAATCATCAGGGATGACGTCTGCATGAAAATACATCTTAAAAAACACCTTTGTTACACGGGAAGAGTAAACACGCCAAGTGTGGTTGAAGAAAATGTTACATCTTTCCCACACTTCCTAATGAATGTAAAACAAGAAGAAGAAAAAAAAGGCACCCAAGTTCTCTTTCACTGTTCCCTGTATACATAAAACTATCTTTCAAGCTTTCAGCCCTGTGTCCAGGCATCCAAGCCATTAACTTGGTAGTTCTATTACGGGGTGCCAACAGTACAACAGTAAATCCCAGATGGCTGGCAGGCCCACATGGTGTTAAGTAACACAAGTTACCGATCCAAGTCAAGCAACCTGCGTCCCTTCCGATGCCAGAGAGTTGATTTGTAAATGCTGAGAAGTTCTCAATTCAGATTTTCTCCTGAAGCGAATGATGCCTGAGATGGGGGGGGGGCATTGAATACCGCAGAGCCAAGTAACGGGTAGTTTTAGTGGGCATGCTGGGATTTTGTCAGGAGACGTCCTGGTGAGTGACTGTTACATGGACAATCAAAGAGGAAAATTATTTTTATTCTTCAAATTGCATGTACCCACACTGTGACCCCCTTATTAAGATAAACTATCTATCAATCATTAGCAAAAACATTTGAAGATTCCCAAATAAACATTATGCTGATAGACGTAGACTTCACATGCATGAGATCAGAATTGATTACGACAATAGAAGGTGGTTATTCAATATAAAACTTGAATTAAATCAACCAATACTTTTGGCATTTAGACTGCTTGTCAAAACAAGACATTTAAAGCCAATCAATTTAGGCTGTGGAACATTTTGATAAGTATTTTTAACTATGTGACCGTTTGTTGGTCAATAACCTGTCTATTAAATAATCTGGCAGATTGATCAAATCATTTTCAACTGCAGACTTATTTCATGTTTAGTAAGTGCCCCTCACAGCGGTTTTCATACACAATCATTTCTAAAAGTGGTGTTTACTGCTGAAACTGCAAATAACTCTACATGGAGATGCTGAACTATTGTTGTTTGGGAAGCGATCGCACCAAAAAAAACAACAACCCAAGACACTTTGCCTGTCAAGCGCTCTTAAAATTTCCCAGGGAAGAGAAGCCAGGAATACCGTCACAGACAATAAAACACAGTAAAAATAAATGAGAGCTCCCATGAAAAGAAATGCATTACACTCCAGATTCTGACCTTCAGAACATGAAGTACCACGTCAATGTCTGCAGCTCGTCCAATCAAAACACAGCCAGATGTTCCAGAGATCTGACCCAACTTTCTACGGAACTACGGAGAATGTCCAGGGGTTTGAACGTACGTCTCGGGCTGCGATCTCTGAAACAAATCTGGACAACAACTGTAGCTTTTGGTCATAAACGCAACACGGCGTGGCTTCAAATGACGCGAGCGGACATCCTGGTTTCTTCAAGAAAGCCCAGAGGCCAAAAAGGTCAAAAGCGGTTTCACAGTTGAAATACTGCGGCTTTTTAAACCTAAAAGCTACGACTGACCAGAGAAAAGGTGGAGTGACCGTTTCCACCTCGCATCGACATGCACAATGCCCCCCCTCTCCCCCCCTACGTGTCGTCATGACGCAGCAGTTTGTGACACGAGATGTTGGGAGGAGTACAAGACCGCGAAGCCCAGGTGGACACGATCGATTAAACACAGCACTAACTGATGTGAAGAAGAAACAACACCATCAGCCCTTTCAGGACGTGGCGCACGGTTTGTCTGGGGCACTCGGATTTAGCACCGCCTCTGGTTAAGTTGTTTTCCTGGAAGAGTTAGGGATGACATGGAGCTTTGAGGAATGTACCGAGCAGCTAGGAAGCAACCCGGGACATTCTCAAGAACTTGTGTGTGTGTGTTTGTAAGTGTATGTGCGTCCCGTGTGGGGATGAACAAACAGTTTCCACCAAGTTAGTTATAAATCCCAAAGAGCTTCATCGTCAGAACGCTTGATCGTGCTCCTTCTAGAACATCACAAAGAATCCCACTCATTAACCTCGGGATGGAATTATTCCACCCTCACCTGTGTTTTGGAAATGAGTCCCCAGGGACATTTCATCAGAGACCGTCCAGGCCCGTCCTTAAGAGCCAGTGATCGCTTGTTTAATGTCCACCCTCACTTGCGAGGGATTACAGATCACACAGGGGATAAAATATATTACCAAAACGAACAACACCAAGCACGCAGTAATAGAAGAATACTTTATTTATTTTAGGCAGAAGTCTTTTTTTCAGAAAACGTTTTCTACTTTTGCTTCCCTCTGTCCACTTCGTCTTTTTTTTCTTTACAGAAAAGTAAGCAAACCCCATGTTCAGGTCAATAAAAGTTTAGTGTACAAACCGCTAAAAGCCCACCAGGGGACTTCTTACAGCGACAGCCCGTGGTGGGGCCACGCTACTGCCCCCCCACCAGAAGCACTTCTTTTTCTCAAGCGTTCGACCTCTTCCACTTTCTGTTTAAAACCGTTTTGGACAACATGTACTCTCAAATCAACTTCTTAAGTTCCATCGGCAACATGTAATCTAGTCTTAGAACGCTAAATGAAAAGCCGGCAGCTAATTGACGCCGTAATTGCCTTAATTAACTCCTTTGCACGTCACGCGCGCGACACGCTTTTCCCGGCCGCGCGGAGGAGGGCCACAATTTGAAGTGAAGTAGTACAAGTCGTATATAAACAAAAAAAAAAGAAAAAAAGGGGCCGTAAGAGGGCGGCGAGAGTGTGCAGCTTCTCGGAAACAACGGGGCAGGAGATGAGACGTGGATATAAACAAAAAAAAAACATTATCCAGGCGAGGGGGGGGGGGCACTTCAATTTACCACCAACTTTATCCTCGAGTTATTTAATTTACTTTACCTAACAACATGACTTCCAACTTCTTACGGTCCACCCGAAACCTCTCCTCTGTCCACTCCGGGTCCGGCGGCGGATGGAGTCCGCTCAGGTCCTCCTCCGACCCCGGGAGGGGGGAGTCGGCGCTCCGCTCGCTGTTGGAGCCCTGGTCCGACTGCTGCAAGTATCTGCACAGCGCGTCGCACTGGGCAGCCATGACGCCGCTCAGCAACTTCTCCAGAGGCCACTGCGGGGTTTTTAATTTTTTTTTTAAATATTCAACCCAAAGTCGAGCAAAGCGGTTGAACTTCTGTGAACTTTTTTTTTTTTTTTTTTTTTTATTCCGTTAATTCGGGGTTGCCGTGCGGACTCATTGCAGCGCAGTTGGGACTTTTCCTCTGCAGTTTCCTCAGGTCGCCTTCGTTTTTTGCCCCCATTTACAGGCAGAGTTTCTTTTAAAAAAAACACAACTAAAATAAGCAGCAGCACGCTGGTCCACGACGCTTAGCTCCGCACACCGCGAACACACCAAGCAACTCCTCGAGAAAGTTTCACGTGTCACCCTGCAGAAAAGCCGGGCTCCTCCCAGAAACACTCATAAAAAAAATAAAAAAGAAACTTCTACCCCCCCCTCCCGGCTTCATGTGAAGTCCAGACTTGAAATGCAGTTAAATTCTGCACAAAAGAATAGAATTGACCAAAGCGGGTTTGACTTGCCCTTAATTAGGATTATTTTCCACAGGCTGGTAGTGTATAATAATAATAATGCCCCATGCAAGCAATGTATCTGTTTATAGAGGAAACACTACACACCCTGAGATTGGGTCAAGGGAAGCAATACAGGAAAGAGAAACCAAAACAAACATTAAAGGGGGTCACAATCAAAAGATCCTGTTTGTATCCTGGTTTTTGATGAAGAAATACAGAACTTCAGTCGTGTATGCAAAAAAAAGATTTGCATGTCTCATATTCTCATGCTGTGACCAATAAACAATTTCCGTTTCCAGCTCATATGGTCTTGATCAATGCAATTGTCCGTATGTTAAACTGAACTGTTTTTTTATGGTTGTAGCTTAAACTTTATATTGGTTATCCTTTTGATCTTTTACCATCATTTTTATTCTTTGCATTTGAATAAAACTCATGTGAGCGACATTAGAAAGCACCACTTCTTGCACACTTCGAATAAAACCTTGAATCATCTGAGAATAAAACGGTGAAAATGTCAGCTTTATAAACCAGTCAGTGATAACACAGTCACCTACATACTGTATTAACACTATGAGGTCATTTAAAACTATGTTTTTTGTTCTGCTAGGACCATTTGTCTGCGACAAGACCCCACACAAACTAGTAGATTAAGCCACATCATCACAGCAGCACTGCAGGTAAATGTGTCTGCCCGCCTTTACAACACTATCAGTATGGTTGCACTGTATTGTAATTAAGCTGCTAAATTAATGTGCATACACAAGCCTAACCAGTGCAAACTGTTGTTGTGATGTGATGATTCTAATGGTTGGTCTAGTTTTAATAGACAATTTCATTGCAAAAGCATGGTACTGTAATGGCCACTATCCACATGAAGAGCCACTTAGCAAATGGGCCCGAATGAAACTCAACAGATATGAATATATAGTTGTCCATGAGAGAAACTTGCTGATGTAAAAGACTTAACAGGTAAACAGTGAAGCCTGCCACCAAGTGGCCAAGTGAATAGTAGAACGAGACTGATTTGTTTGATTGTACAAACACACGGTTTACTGAATCAGACATTATATGCCAGAACAAGAAGGTTCACAATGTGTATTGTCAAGAAAAAAGTTCCAACAAATGTATTGATTAATGTCTTTAATGCAAAATAATGAAAAATAAATCCAGTAAGGTCTTGTACAATATAAATCTCTTGAAGGAAAAGTATAATCAGACCATCTCACCACAACAAATTATGATTATGACGCAGATTTAAGGGGAAAATTAGAAAAACAGTAAAAACAGCTGAGTCAAGTAAGGTCCAAGTAGAGAAAGTGCTTCAAGCGAAAAAAACACCTCGACTAGAACCAGAGTAGATGAGCAGTTGAACGGTAGGGTCATATTTTGAGGTGTTCACTGATGCGTCATTCTTGCTGAAACTCCAGTTGCTCACATTGCATACCTCTCAGTCCATTCTCGGGCTACTTGGTTGTACCTAAAGAGAGAGACAAAAAATGAGTTTCTCAAGTTTAGTTGAAAACTTCATAATAATTCCACATTACAAATGTTTTCGCTATTGTCACCTTGTTCGGTCGGATTTGTAAATGTGTGCAATGTCCGGGACTAGTGGATCATCTGGATTCGGGTCACATAGCAAGGAGCATATGGATAATAAAACTGCGAGAAAAAAAGAAGAAAAGATTAGGATACACGCAGGTTTCAATAACATTATAAACGTTTTCCAACTTCTTATCTCATTCTCTATAACCCAATATAAATACAAATGGCCGACATTTGATCTCATACATCTTTTTTTCAAGATCTCGTTAGTTACTTTTCATTTTTAGGCAATAGGTATATCATCAAATATTTGGTATAAATATATAAAAATAGATGGCACGCAGACTGACAGAAAATATGAATTTTAACAGAGTGCTTATATTTTAAGAGGTCCAGCTTTTATTGTCTTTAAAAAGGCACTCGTTTAGCGGTTCAATTATAAAAAGCTTTAATACAAAGCAACTAAATCTTTTGAGCACATCTACCCACTCGCATCCAAAATGAAGGCACAGAAAAAAAACAATCCCAGAGTCCAAAATGATCGAGCCATCAGATTTCTAACACATTCATTAGTTCCCCAACAAGTATAGGTGAGGGGCATATATCTGAAACAAGTAGTTTACATAACAATAAAGCACACTTCTTGTTTCTCTTTTTAGAAGGTGAGGAAAAAAGTTGGATATCAGGGCATTTTTTGGTTGACATCACTTCACACACAAATGAACTGAAACGCTACAGGGCGAGTATAATGCACCGGAAATTGAGAACTGTATTTATCCAGTCCAGATTAAACTTGAAATGAGATTAACTTTTTTTATGATTGATATTGTTATATTATTCACCCAGTCCTATTTGGCTATTTACATAGTTGGAATATTCCATCGCACATTAAAGGATTTCATAGTCCTGTTGTTGTGCTGTGCAGGAAAAATAAAGATGATAGTTACCTTTTGATACGGTAAGAGCAGGCGACCACTGCGACCTCAAGATGTCGAGGCAGATGCTACCATTGCTGTTGATGTTTGGGTGGTAAATTTTTGTTGTAAAGGCAAGCTAGAAAAACAATAAACCAAGCATTATTAGAATAAATGACCTACTGATGAAAAGAGTCGGGGTGCATCTAACAAGATCTTATAATCTTACCTTTGGTGGTTTAAAGGGATAGTCAGTAGGAAAATGGACAGAAAGGAAGAATACTCCTCCATGATACGGGCTGTCATTCTAAAATAAAAGGAAACATTTTGTTAAATAATGCCTAGTACTGTGCGGGATGATTACTATTATTGTTGAGGAAGCAACCATATATTTAATTATTTGGTGGATATAATTTGTTTAAGATGAATTCTCTTTGTAAAAAGCACTATGGTACTTTTCCCCATTGTATAAGAAATGGACCATAGGCTTTAGAGAGCAACACTGGGATGGAGTGTGCCAGTCTGTGCATTCAATACATAATAGAAAGGGCTGTAAAGTCAACATAAAACACCATTGTCTAAAAATCTAGAAGAAGCTTGGTTTAAAAAAAAAAAAAAAAAATCTAGCAAAACTAATCCAGAAAGAACTCACCGGTCCCGTGATGGTAGCTTGCCAATGAAACACTAAAAGAAGCAAAGATGACAACACAATCTGTGTGAACATTTTGTAGTATCAAGACTGTGTACCGGTTCAATTCTGCAATACTGCAACAAAGTTCCTGCAGTACTGATATTGCAAAACAAAAATGAAAGTAGAAGATCACAGCATTCCCATAATGCAAATGACATGTTTAAGTATTAACACTAAAACTTACAGTCATCACCTACGGGTCCAGCTGAACATGAAGCTGGAGGATCCTTCCCCAAGTCTTGTAACTCCTGTACAAATAAATAAAAACAAGTAAGAGTCGGACAGCTTTCATCGCGGAGTAACATCCACGTATTCGTTTACAAATAAATAAAAACAAAATAAATCTTAAGTCTGCTCAACAGTAAACAAACGTTAGCGAAAACGACAACGTCGCATTTGATTAAGTGAAAATGGAAAGTACGTTAGGCAAAACGTACAGGGCGTTGACACTGCTTGTTTGCTAGGCCAACTTGAGCTCGTAGTTAGCTGGAAGTTAGCTGGAAGTTTAACTGCCTAACTTAACGTTAGCTAACTGGCGTCTTCCGCAGTGACCTAAATATCGGACTTCATTGTAGCAAAAGCTGTCTCTCGTGAATTCACAAACGTTACCGGTCGTTAAAAACGTCCAAAACAGTTGGTACGTTGCGTTAGCATACGGATGCTATTAAGCTAACGTTAGATGGTTGACTGGCTAACGTTATAGCGTCTCATCACGCATCGCCTCCAGCGTTTCTGTACATTAAAGAAGATAAGACAAAAACTTACCTTCTTTATTCTTTTTAGAGCCATGGTAAGTCCTTCAGAGGGATTAAGCGAAGCTACAGTGTTAACTTTGACAGCTGTCAGCTACAGCTACGCTCACTTTACGTCTTACCCGGTCTTATTTGTTATGACAAACTGGTGATTCTTTTGTTTCCGCGTATTTGTTCGACAAAGAAGAGCGGAGCGGTGCATTGTGGGAGTATGAGTTTTCAGCTAGATTCGCCGCCACACATGAACCTAATTCATCCATAACTCTGTTGAAAAACTTAATAATAGTAAACTTGGAAAAATGGTCAAGTTAGTAACACAGCTTCAATTAGGCTTTAAAAAATTGACCATTCGATCTAGACAGTTATTCTAGGTTCACCTTTAGTACTATTAACTACTGAATAATATTTTGTGAAAAACCCAAAAGCAGCCTTTGCTAAAATTCATCTTGCTAAAACAAAGACATTCTCTTCAATTTGTATCAATATATTATTACTTACTATTTTTAGATCCAATGCAAGATGATGCAATTATTGTCTTGGTGTGGTTGTTGAGGCTCAAATCTGAATCCATAGCATCACCATTTCTAAGTTGTATTGCTGGGGTGAGTTTTGAGTAATTTGCACAACTACAGGATTTATCCTGAAGGTATGTTCAATAATAAAGGACCAAGAACCAAAATCTGGGAAATTCACCGTGATTGGCTCATATTCATGACAGCTTAAGTCAGCAACAATATAACCACTGCCTTCTATACGACATCATCCGACTGGAAGTAGACTGTCAAGCCTTGTTGTCCCTGAATCACCAATCAGACAAAAGCTATTTAGTCAAGTCCGAACAACTAAATTTACATTTATATTGTTGTTGAGCTGGATAACAGGAACCTTCTCAATCATTTCCCAACAAATTCAAGATTTAAGACTGATGTGTTTACCATGGACGCAGTATCTTGTTGCATGTTTTTATGGATGAATTAAATGACTTTGGAAGAGCTACAACACCTGAACAGATGATTGTCATAACGGATGATAAGATAATGGGGAAATAAGGCAAAGATGAGATGAAATATGGACATCAGTTGACTCAGTATCCCCCAAGGCGGAAACATGTTTTTCGCTTTAGCGTTGCAACCGATTATCTTCACAAAGCTGCTGGGAATGCATACATTTTTGTTGCTGCAACTCACAGAGAGTAGACTGAATGTTGAGGTTAATCTTGCAAAGAGAGAAAGTCCTGAGAAGGGGAAGACAAACTAACATACGGACATATACAGTCATGTGGACAAGAGGGAACATCTGTCATCTTTCACAGCTGGACCGCTACATACCTCAAAGTCACAGACAAGTTAAGACATTTTCTATTTATGTATCCATCTGTCTACAGCTCTTACTGATAAATTGAATTAGAGCAACTCATAACTCTTTCTCACATTTTTCAGTCAGTCGGTCATCAATAGCTGTAAAATAGATGTGCTGAATATGAGTAAAAAAATTAGGTCAGGTCAAATTACTTTTTAACTCTTATATGGATATGGGTATGCTTATGGATTGCATAATTGCATATGCAATTATCTTTCTAAAGGCTTCATTTCGCATGGCTTCATTTGTATTAATATGCTGCTGAAATATTGTAAGGAAACAGTTAGAGTTGAAAACAAAGAAGCATTTTGACAAGTTCTATTCACTCCTTTTGTCAAATATTTTATTGTTGGGGGTTTTAAAGATGACAATTCATTTTTTTTTTACAGTTAATTGGACTCAACAACTCTGACTTAGTATTCATGTTAATTATTGTGTTCTGATGAATAGTTGAAACACAAGGCATCAATGAACTAACAATGTCAAAAGGGAGTGACTCTCATGCATTATTTAGTGACGTTTGTCAAACAGAACCTGATGTTATAAAGTCTTTAAAGGCACCTCGCCGACTGTGATGAAGAACCATTGAGTCCTAATACACCATAAGAAGGGTTGTGACTTTATGTAATATTACATCCAAGACACGGAATTCTTTATTTAGGTCAATGAAGTGAGTATTCAGATCCTATATGGGTATTTGAAACCCTTGACATAATAATGCCACATTGTAAAAAACAAGACGCCATTCCTGCATTCATAATTGTGTTGTTATCAAAATTCATTACATCACAGTTGTGTTTTATATGCCGTTTGAAGGTTTATCTGAAATGCGGCGAAGAGCAGAAATATAAAAGGAGTTCAAATATTAAATACCCCACTGAAGTAATGCACAAGTTGCAGCAAAGTGTCCAGTTACTGTCTGCGGATGATCCCTTTACTTCAACTAGGACAACCGCAGTAGTTTACATATCCGAAACAGTTACTTTGATTGAAAGAAACGAATGGAAGATACAATGTCCCCCTCTTAACCCTTGATCAAGATACAGCAATGTCCTCAGTGCACAGCGGTGCTCCTTGACCTGGTGAAAACCGCAGCTACACGTCTCCAAAAACGGGCTGCAACGTATTCCTCACACGCGATTGGTCATGGATCGATGCGCGTTCACGGCGCTCCGAGGTGGCGCGCCCGTTGCTTTCTGAGCATCGTTCGGAGGAGGAGGAGGAGGAGGAGAGAGGAGAGACACGGAGAGAGACGCAGAGAGACGGAGCGCCAAGTCTCCACACACCCCCCCCCCGCCCCCCACCCCACGAATGTCCGCCTCTCCACGTCGCCCATGAACACGCCTCGCATTCCTATGTCCGCCAGTTGAAACCCTGAAGGCGAAGGACCAGGTCTCCACCTCCGCGAGGATTCGGGACTCCTTACAGCGGGCTGCACGTTTTTTTTTGTTTTGTTTGTTTCTTCTCTCCAGGTAAGCCGCCCCCACCACCCTTCCTCCCCCCCCCCCGCGGTGGCCGACGTGACTGTGGGTTGTCGGTGTATTCACGCGCTGTCCGTGATTTTAAGCGGGGCGCCGCGTGCGACAACGGGCGAGGTTCGGGTCTGCGGGTTTTTGCGGGTTTGCGGGTTCGCTGTCCGATGTGCTGAAAGCGGACCGGTGCGCTCGCGCTGTGAAAAAAAAACAAAAAAAACAAAAACGCAGCACATAGTACAACGAGTGATGACGGCCTCGCGATTAAAGCCGGTTTCGTGACTTCGCTGTTTGCGTGCTACGGGCCGTTATGTGTTGCAGACTTCACCTCCGCGAGGATGTCGTGGTGTCGCGGGGGGGGAGAAGCTGGACGATGAAGCTGAAGCCTCGCGTGCATTTACGATATCCGCTCATTGGCGTTTTGACTACGTCTGCTCTGGCCGAATGGATGTGTGTGTCTAAGCTGCATTGTATACCTACTCCTGCGGACGGTGTGTTGTTGTTATGTTTCATTTCTATTTTTTACAAGCATTTATTGTTATCAGGGTCCGGCTCTGCAACCGTTGCAGTCTTAGAATGCACGGTGCCATGCAGGACTTTTTTTGTGCACAATGAATGTAGGTGAGAAAAAATAAAGAGTAATGGTCCTACATGGCACCAAGCTTTGTTGTTCCTCATCAACTTTTCCCCCGTTGACTGAGAATTGCACTGGTATCCACTCAAAGCGTAACACCACCTTGCTTAAAAAAATGCCCTTGTCGAGACCTTGCGAAAACGTGAACCCACGCAGCCACGATTGGATCTCTGCACATCTGTTCCGCGTGGAAATGCCAAACATGTTGAAACGTGATCCAGGCCACCGATCATGCAAATGATCCCACTTCTTGGACACGTATAGAGCCAAGTCACATCCCAGGCGCCATTGTTCTTCTGATGGACCAAAATATCCATTCTCTCCTCAACAGGAGCACCTGACATTTCCAGTGGCAGATTTACCCACTGGATCATGGCACAGACCAACAGCGGTGGGCAGGGAACCAACGGGGTAGCGGATGAGTCCCCCAACATGATTGTGTACAGAAAGGTAAGGCAGCTGCTATTTTTAGTCTGCACAAGTGTGTGTTTGCGAGTGGGAGCGTGTCTCTCTTGCATCAATTTACCTAACGATGAGCCGTGCAATGGAAATTGCTATTACTAATGGTAAGACAGTGTCCTTGTGCCATGGTGGATTTAGGGTTGTAATGCTATACGCCAGCTTGATGAGAGCACGGAGAGAACATGTAATTATTGTCTCACAACATTTATGCCATGCAAGTAGATTTAGGCCGTGCTCTCTGTCCCTCACACACACACACACACACACACACACACACACACGTGCACGCGCACACGCACACACACATACACACACACACACACACACACACACACACACACACACACACACACACACACATTTTCCAGTTAAACCGTCATCTTATATTGCCAACACGTTGGAGGATGGATTTTTAACTGACTGACATTAATAGAACTGAATGGAAGCCACAGGCTTTTTAGCCATTGTTCATTACACTCCTAGTGGTGTATCGTTTCCCTTTTAAATCTGTTACTAAATTGGAGGATCAGAAGAAGGGAGCGCAGTGAACTGGCCCACTGCTGAGACACCTTAATGCAGCACCAAATATCAAACCGGTTAGTAAAATAACAATCTGCAGGGGATGATACAATTCGAATACTTTGAGGCCCAATTATAAATACATATGTGTATATATAGTACATATGTGTATGAGGGTGTGCGCACTGTTTCCTTAACACTCATTTGGGTTTTTATCTTTTCTCCCTTGACAAACACAACTAAATTTAAGAGTAACCCACAAATAAACCATTCTAAAAATTACTTTAGCCACCACCAGGAGAGGCTTCTGTTCCCTGGTGGTGTAATTATTGTATTGTAGTTTGCGTATTCTTCTGACATCTTCTAGCATGAACTGATGCCGCGTGTTTTACGTGTCTCAAACACCTTATTCCCTCATCCCAGGTGTCATGATTCCATGATCAAGTGAGGCCGGATTCTAGCTTATGGTGTCCTGCATTTATTGTGAATGTATTAAATACCTTCGGTGTCACACTTGAGCAACAACAGCTGTGTGTTCGTGCACGTTGCCTGTCGGACCGTGCAACGTTTTACTTAGCTTTCAGATGCACCAATGAAGTGATCATTTTCTCATCTTACTTGAGGAGGACCCAAGCGTGGAGGGAGTTTCTTCACTTGATTCTCTTCACCCTTCAGCGAATGCTCCCATTCCATCTGTGACAGCATCTGCACGCCAGGAGAGGGACGCGCTTAGCATGATATCATAGATTGAGGGTCATTTATAGCACTCGCAGCGTGTTAGGCCATGTTACTGCCAGCGTGGGACAAGAATTGCTGGAAGTGCTGCAAAGCAGAAATGTTTCACAAAGGTTGTTTTTATATTTTCTTGCTGACAATTTTCATCTTCCAGCAGGACGACTGGCCCATAATCTAGGCTGTTCATAAGTAACACACACAGGGAGGGTATTTCAGGTGTGTTAACTTCACTGGTTTTGTCATACCGTGTACTCATGGAGGAAAGCATAGCTCTTATTAAATATATGTTTAAAGGGCAACAGCCATTCATATTTTTTTCCCCCAATGTTAGTAGGAATGGAACTTTATACAGATCAGGCTTTGAATCTAATATTTACAAAACATCAGAATATTTATAGGAATTAAACTGCTGGAAAGTTTAATGTATGTAGTATGACAAAAACCTTAATTTTGAGAAAACTATATATAAGATATACAATGTGAATGTCATGCACTTACTTACAAACATTAGATATGCAAAATGATGATAGTGGATATCTTCTTTCCAAGTCTCGAATAATACATTACAGTAGCAAAATATCCTGTAATATGAAATTAACCAGTGACTGAAGAACAATGTTTTTGCCTTTAAAATGAAAGATCAATTACTATTGATCTGAAAGTTTTCGATCTTCCCATGAAGCCGCTAAGATATATCAATAGCTTATATCTTTACTTTGTAGCTTTTACCTTGAGAAACCAACCCCAACACTTACTATTTTAGTTTTTCACAATTAGCAGGCGACATTTGAAACTCAAGGCTCTGTTTGATCTTAAATGTTCGGTCGTATTAATATCTTGACCCCGAAGCACTCGCACATCATCCGGCTCTTCACTTCCCGACCCGTGACCACACATGGCCGCAGCCTGGCTCCGTGTGACCCAGATACGCCGCGGAATGAAAGAACACGGTGGGAGCAGGGAGGATGAAATTGTGTTTCTGGAGTGGGTTTGATTCAGAACTGCAATCGGAAGAGCGCTGTCTGGAGACGTGTGGCTGCGGCCGGCACGAACAGGTGCCTCAACCCGCTTTTCAGATGGAGATGACTTGGCACAGGGTGCTGCAACCCACACTGACTGGGCCCTCGCTAAACGAGCTCAGCTCTCGAGTGGAAAACAGGCTTTCATGTTCTGCTTCGCTGTTACGACATCTTGCGCAGGAATATCACCAACACACAGTGCAGATGCTGTGAAAAATGTGGATGTTAAGCACACCTGCTTTATAGTTGAAAATGGGCCATCAGTGCATACAATGCTGTAAATGAGTCTCTATTTTTGCACTGCTGGTTCCCTCTTTTTAGAGGTCAGTGTATTATTTGTTTAGACACCTGGTCTGTAGTCAGGACAAGTTCAAGTACATTTGAATGTGTCAACCTTGTCTCCGTGTGTCAAAAAAGGCAACAAGTGGCTAAATGAGACGACGAAACATCGTCACGCCGACTAGACCGCCTCTGCAGCCTTGTCGTGTTTCTGTTTCCTCATGCTCATGCAACCGTAGTGTAGTTTGTTCATGCCCCAACGTTACCCTCTTTCCTTCTGCCGATTGGATTCACCCTTCAAATATGACAAACGGTCTTCATTTGTGAAGATGTTGTTGTAGTAATCGAAAACGTTTGTTTGCCTCAGAGCTTTTTTCTCTGCACTAGACTTAAATCCAATCGAAATATCTCTTTGGCTCTGGGGAACAAGTGTGATGCTTCCATTTTCCATTTTCTGCCCTACATACCTACGTAACTCCTGCAGCCCGCTATAGTGGAAGGGTTACATAACGTGAGCAAAGGGGGCCTTATGGTCAAGTACCGCAGACTGTGGTTTGATAGCCTTGTCACTGGGAGTACGGCTACATCCTTGAACTCTCTCAGTCTTTTTTCTTTTCCTTCTCTCCGGCCCGTCCACCTCCTGTCATTAACACTTCAAGGAGAATAGATGGCGCGGCGGAGGTGTTGACCTGCTGTGCTGTGGAGATGTGTGCAGATGTTGCCTGTTTCCCTTAAGGATGCGTTCGCACAGGCACCTTGGCTTTTAATCTGATGCGTTCGCCCAGACAGATTCACAAACACGCACAGGCCTTTGTGATAGACTGATTTATTAGCGACAGCTGACGAGGGGCCCTAACTACAAGTGATACGTCAGAACTCCTGTTTGTCTTGAAAAGCCAATAAAAACCGTGGAAGGATTCAGTGGATACGCACTGCATGTCTGAGGGCCTTCTGTGTATCGTCAACTGCACAGTATGTAAGTGCTTGTGTATTTTCATGCCCGCTCACATGTGGGCACCATGAATAGTCCTTTGATGCATGTGTGTGTGCTGTATGTAGGGCGAATGTTGCTAAGAGAGGGTCCTGAATTTTTTATGGGATCCTAAAACAGCTCTGAAGTTTTTCAGCCACTCGGCACGAGGAGCGAGCAGCCGGCGGCGCGCGTGTCTTTGTAGGTGTGCGTGCGCTTAACACTTTATTCAGCCCGTAAAATAAAATATTACGGTGATAGTTAACTCCCACCTTTACGATACATCACCTGCTACGTCACACATTCGTAAAATTCACAAACCTTAAACCGTACTGACTCTTTTCTATTGAAAGTCTTCTGTTGCGATAGAGAAACCTGTAAGATATTTCCTGGTTGAAAGTGATTCTCTTGCTTCTCACTGTTCTTCCTCTGTGGTGTAGTATATCTGACAGCCCTCTCGTACATCTGAGCTGCTGACGGGCATTTATAATCCAGTAATTGTTCTTCTAGCAGCCGGATTGACTTCTGTCTCAGTGCAGAGCCATTACAACTATATGTTTCTATTTTTTTAATGTCACGTTTGTTCCCCATGAACGCATTACATATATGTTACACTATTATTGTTGTCTTCGGTTCTTTTGGAGTAAGCTTTTTAAAATTCTTGTTAGATAAATGTCAATACGGTGCAGCTTTGAAGTAATTGGTCCCCGGTGAAACTCAGTGTTTTCCGTGCATATCAATGATGTGTAAAGAGTAAACGAGTCTGCGGTTTCTATTGTTCTCCCACCACTTTACAGTATGTGGACAAGTTAACTGCAGGTAAAATGGCAAAACAAATGTCAGATAACAGAATAATCTTTATTTATTGTGACTGCCATGTCAGGTAATAGCATTAAAATGATCAACTATCAACATTTCTTCCCGGTAATACCTTCACATCCATTTGACAATATTTCAAATGTATTTATGCTTCAAAGCAAAATCTTTCAGCATAAATTTCATGTCAGTAGACCAAATACTAATTTACATGTCAGGGTTCTAATACTAGTTTCCTACCTGACAATGTCTGTGTAGGAACCACAAAAAGCTGTCTTCTTCTTCTTTTGCATGTTACAATACTGCGACCAGAATAATTAAACCAGAGGGAACAATTCTGGTCAAAAGTCCAGTCAAAAAGATTACCAACATCTCTTTTTCCAAACTTTCCTGCACTATTTGCATTCTCTCTGCATTTTCCCCCATCGGGAAAGCTCGGGAATGAAGTAATGAACAAACGAATAACAGACACGACACAGGTATTAGTGCATGCTATTGATTCTGTAAATTGATTGAAAGTGGCTGTGTACAAAAGATCATTTTGCAGGAGCAAGACTTTCCTTTTTCTCCCTCTACATCGCTACAACACAGCCGTAATACAGCGGTATTACGACATGCAGAACTGCTGCCGTTATTGATACGGTCTTGGTTTAGACTACTACAAATTCGGCTTGAGATCCCCTCATTAGAAAGCGTTATTTCAATCCAGGCTAATCTGCATCCGCTAAACGTGACCCATATCTGCCCGCACTGTTATCAATACAATTTCCCGGCCGTCCTACGTTGTTTGTGAGTCACGAAGCGGAGGGAACTGAATACATTTTCGGCTTTTTTTTCTCAGTTGAGTGCCAGATTGAAGTGTTCTTGTACTGCCTGTCTCCCTCAATCCGCAATCAGAAGATCAGGAAGACGGAGAGAAAGAGGGAGAAGAGGAGAGAGAGGGGGCGGGAGGGGGGGTGGGTTGAGGTGGGGCGATCTATAATTGCCAGATCAGAGAGAAATCTTTGTGTGTGAAGTAGGGCTCTTTGCATGTCAGCTTGCCAGCCAGGCGATTTCTCTTCCTGTGTGTGTGAAAACATCCATGTTCGGTTTTGCACACACAGTCGAGGGGAACGTGCGGGTGTTTGGCAGACACTGTTGGATGTGAAATTGGCATTTATGGCTTTGTGTGTTATGAACAAATGCATTTTGTCTGTTTACAGGTGCCGGCATCATAATATGATAATCCCCCCGGCGATGTTATGTCACAATGTAACTGATACATTACACAAACACGGTATTTGACACGAGGCTTTCTTGCTGCACGTGCATGCCAGACCAGAGTCATTTGCATTGTAGTATTAGCAGCAGTGGGCAGCTATTATACCCAGGAGGAGAACTGGCATCTCTAAACACCCTACTAGTGTTACTCCTATACAAGGCCCCCACCTCATTACATACAGTGAACCCTAATTAAATAAATTATTCGAAAGCCTCTCAAACGATGATTTTAACGATCAACGAATATTACACCAACGTCGAGAAGTTAACTCACTCCCTTCACTGTTGGCAATTAGGATGCGTCTTGTTTCAGGGGTAATATTGAATATTGAGAAGTGAAAAAGGATTTGTTTGTCTGTTTGTATTTCGGTCTGCAGTTTGTGTTTGCTTCCCTGAGTATTTGCTCAGGATTAACCTAAATTCCTTGTTAAGATTAAATGGATACTTTGACGACTTTGAGTCAGGCTTCCTTGCCGATCACAGCACAGAAACAGCAGACATTAAGGTTATAAATGATAAATAAATATTAAATATTATAAATACCAAGACAGGCAAAACATCCGTCCTTGTGTTCGCCTTTGACACTGTTGACCGCAACATATTGTACTTCTGCACAGACTGGAATATTGGGTTTGATATCCAGGTATTGTTAAGTGGTTCAGATTGTATTTACCCAATAGGAGTTGTAATAGTTTTTGTTCTATCCGTTGGATCCTTCAACTTTTCTATACTTTTCTTTGCTATAATGGATATCTTATTATATCTATGCTGATGATACCCAAATTTACTTCGCCCCCTGAAATGTGTTTGTCGATGCGTTGGCCAAATTAAAATCAGGATGTTACATTACTCAATGGCTGAATAAAGTCTAAACTAAGATGATCTTGGAGACGAGAGGACTGAAAGTAAATTGATTGCGACCTTGGTTGAAAAACCATGTGGGAGAAATAACTAATTCAGCTTTTTAATGAAAGCCAAACTTTGAAGATTAATGTCAAAACATGAGCTGGTAAAACTTAACAGAAGGGCTCTTCCTAACGAGACCATCTGACAGCTTCAGCTTGTACAAAAGATATCGGAGTTTTTACCAAAGTAATACCGAGATAGTTAACAGCATTACTCTGAAACCATTTGACTGGCGTCAAAGAAAAGATTTTAAAGCACTAAAGAGAAATCTGATGGTGTTACCTAATATTAGCAGAAGAAATAAGAAATGTGTTTATTAACTTTCAACACATAAAGGAGGCTCAATAGATCGAACTCTCACATCTGTCTGTTTTGCCAAACTACCTTCAAATCTCTCTCATTAACACGCTCTACATGTTCGTACGGAATGATTGAATTACATATAACGTCTTAATTAGTGAGATTTGGAGGAGCTGATTCTAGCCTTTGTAGTGCTAACTGGCTGCTGGCTCCAGCTTCATATTCAAGGTACAAATATGAAAGTGAATATGCATATTTATAAAAAGGTATGATGACTCCTTTGAAGAATGATTGATGTGAAGTCTGAGATTACCGAGTGATACTGAATAAAACGGAACCCAAACACACATCTCTAATCTTCAAGCCGCAGACTTTATTTTGGCGATTGAACTCAGATGGACACAGGTACTTCCTGCGCACGCACCAAACGCTGCCAGTGAGCAAGAATCCCAGCTGCATGTGAACAAAGTGCAGAACATCAAACCATCGAGCTTGACATATTTCACCGTCAGTGAGGCGACGGTTAAACATTTTCCGAGGCGGACTTCGCCGGGTGATGGTCTCTCGGGCTGCTCCGCGAGGACAGCACGGAGACATAGGCCCGTCTGGCCCTCAGCTCTCCCCTCCGTGAAGGCTGCCACAGCTCTTTAGTCCTCTCTGTTAGCGTTACATAAGGGTCCTAAAGGAAGCCCGAGCATTAAGACTGACGCTGACTCAGGCCCCGCCTGCATCCGGTCATTTAATTCCCGATTACAGAAGCACCCAGCCCGGAGTGGAGAATGAGTCCAGTTTGATGGTCCTAATGGGGACAGAGATGCTCCATTAGGACTAAAGGGAAACAGAGATGGGTAACATCCAGAGGAGACGGCGAGTGAACGCTGCACGTACTGTATTTATCTGTGTTCACCACGCAGCGTGTTCCCGGTTTACAGCGCCGCGCCTCCTCTGCCGACTATCCACGTCCGACTCATCTGGATCGCACACGTGTCCACGTAGTCTTCGCTCTGCGATGTATAAATTTCCACCTGTCTGCTCGTCTCGATAGACATTGCGTTCATTATAGAAACTCCATATCTTATTGGCTTCTCATTTTTCCCTTCCAGATAAGTTCACATCCAGTTGCATTTAGCGTATGGAGAGTGATTTGATTTGATTTTAAGTCAGGTTTACTTCCTGTGTTGGGTTCAGCCCAGAACATGAACAATGTGAGGTGTTTTAGAATTCATCACACTACTTAACATGTATTTCTGCCTGATAACAGATGAATCATCTAGAACCTGAACCAAAACATTACCACCTAATTTCTCTTAATAATAACATTCACACACAACCCTTGTAATTTTCATCTCAAATCATTGGCAGATTAAAAGTCATATTTTTATGTCAAAAGCTTTCAAGAGAACATAGAAACAAGAAATCTTGTCTTTCATGCAATTCCTCCCCCCCTGATGTACAGTGTGTCTTTTGTGTCTCTCACTCTCTTTCTGTCTGTCTGTGTGTCTTTCTCTCCCCTCTCATTCTGTCTCTGTGTAGACTTCAGACGTTTCCCCCGCTGTCTCTCTCTCACGCTGGCGTTCACACTTTGCCCTTTCCAATTTCATCTCTTTTATTTAACACCCCCTCCCCCCTCCCCTCACGAGCCCGTGCCCTTTTTTCTTCAGTTTCAGGTCTTTGATGTTTCTCGTATACCTGCAATATCACACTAACTTTGTCCCTTTGTCTCCCTCACGCTCACCCTGACGCACACCTGCACCCTCACTCTCTTTCTACACCCCCCCCCCCTCCAGTGTGTGGATCCTTACCAGCGAGGGGCATCCATCCACCTCTGTCCGTCTGTCCCCTCCTCTCACATCCCTCGCCTCTCTTTGAAGTCATCAGAGCCCTCGTCGGAGCCCATGCCACTCCAGTTAGCTTTTATCCTCGCACAGAGAAAGAGGAGGGGGATGTATTTACACCTCACCAGAGCATAGTCATCTCCCCTTTGCGAAGTGATTCACTCGTGACTCACAGCGTTATTGGGGAGTCTCTCCAAACAAACAACCATTGGCTGTGGCATTTTCCATCCACATCGACTGTAACTGAAGGCGCCGTCCCGATTGTCCCCCTGCAGCTCGTTGCCGCTCTCGACAATGAGGAGTCGTTCTCCAAAAAGCAATCACGTCTCAGTGATTAGCCTGCCATGACTGAGAGCCATTGTGCAAATCCAGTACCAGCGAAATAATAAAAGTCAAACAGCAATTTTCCCAAAGGGCACATTTTCCTACGTTTTGAGACATTAGCTGCATTTGGCAAACAGGCTGAGAAAGACCTTTGTCTGAAACTCTGCGCTTTGCATCTCAGACAGACACAAACACACACACACACACACACACACACACACACACACACACACACACACACACACACACACACACACACACACACACACACACACACACACACATATTCTTTGCTTGCAGGTTGCAGCATGTTGAGCAGCTTCCACCTGCACCCAACTGAGCCTCACAGCTTCGCCACCATTAGTTCATGTTAGCAAGCACAGCCGTCCACAGCACAGCGTACTCTACAAACCTCGGGCGCCATTTTGACTCAATCGGCTGCTGATTTTTCCTCCTCTTGTGCCTTTTCTGTGCTAAAATGCAGCAAAATAGGGCAGCCACAAACAAAATGTATGTAGCTGAGGTGTGAGTTTCTTAAATATCCATATGCAAGTGTCAAGAAATCTGAAATCATACCCATTCATTATGATATTATATGCTTCTTTATTTTTAGGAAGGGGATGTTGTTACTGTGACGTTGCTAAATAATGTGGACCTACACTGTGAAGCCTTGAGGTTGCCGTTTTACCCGTCGCCATCTTGGCCTTGTGGAACCATAAGTTCAACCGAACAATACAATCAACTTCCATGAACGGAAAACGCTGTGAAAGGAGTAAAGCTGCATGATAAAAACACTGGACGCCGCTGTGGTGTAAACAAAATAGTTATTCACAGCTTTTGGGATTTAAGCCAATGGAAATGCGTAGTAATAAACAATACTCTTGAATATATATGTCTCTGGATGTTGGTTGGTTGGTCAAATCTTAACGGGTTATATTCTAAGAGATATTCTTTTTTTCCTCAGGGCGGATATGCAAATGTTCTGCACTACACTATAGAGTGGTTTTGGACAAAGCCCTCGTCCTGTTTGAAGTTAACATATAAAATAATAAGTCACGTGCTATTTTTTGCATACTACATCTAAAACAAAACCACCGTGCTTTCCCTCTCAACACAAATCCTCATCTTAATCACCGTTATTGTGTTCATCCTGCTTCTCGAATGCTCCTAATTTGTCAGCTAGCTTGAAGATTCCCGTCTGTCGGTACTGTGTACTGTGGCGGCTGCTCAGTTGGAATCCCCATGACAACCTCACCAGCAGACTGTCAGAGGCCATTATCTCAAACACTTCAGCAAATTGTCCAGCACACCCTTAGCCCACAAAGTGACAGAACACGAGTGTGTGTTTGTGGGGGGGCTTCTTTATTTCAGTGCAGACATTCACACCCTTTTAAGATTAGCTGCTCAGTCCATTACGACCTGCAGGCGGCGATGAAAAGGAACTAGGGCTCAATTTTGAGGTACTTTGACTTGATTGTTTCTATTTTCTGCTACTTTTCTACTCCACTGCCCATCATGGTTTTATATCCACGAGATGTATTTAATTGCTTTAGTCACCAGGTACAGACTGGAGTACCAAAGTAATGTACCGCTGTGGATGGGAGTAGCATCAAAATATACCACATTGAACAGAGATGCACTTGAAAAATCAAGATCCCTTTACAAGTACAAGTGTACGATATATTTAGAATATTTTTCCATGGGGAACTGAAATAAAAGGGAACCTTATCTATACTGTTTTTGTTAAGGGGTTTATGAGATAGTTTACGTTAATTTTACTTTCTGTTCAATTCCCTGAAAATCCCTAAATATAACACTTCAATTTATTTTGATTAATTTAGGTTAGCCTTACTTTTAAGTGGCTGCACACGTTTAGCAGCTGACCCGTCCACTGCATTATGGTATGTTGCTCTGCTCCTGTGCTGGTACTGCTTCTCCAAACTGGGGAGGTGCTGCAGTTTATTCAACCACTATGCACGAAAACCTCCTCCAACTTCACTTCAAAATGCCAGCAAGAAGAAAGCAAATAAGATTTAATCAATTTTAGGACTAGTGAACAAAGCTGTTGTGATTGTTTGCTGCCTTATGAAGTCACCTAAAGTGTAGCTCTCAGGATTAAGTACCAGTAGTGTACTGACAGATCTTCTATTCAGCCCGTTTGATTTCTTGATGTCAGGAAGGAGCTTCACAGAACCTTTGTTGAATAAGTAGCATCAATCTTCTTACCTCAGTTAAATCACTGTGGTGATCGAAGACGCTGATGTGAAAGTCATATGACTCTGTCTATGTCAATGCTTCTTATGTTGTGGTTGTGCTTTTGCTTAGTGGGATGAAGATACATTATCTCTCTGGTTGACAATAACAATAGAGATTTTATTCTATTCTATTGTGTTCGCCATCTGCAACATCAAAGTGATGTACGCTTGAAATAACTACTAATCAGAATTCAGTGATATGATCAATATAGTTGTTAAGTAGGCCGTTTTTCATAATGAAGAGTTTTACAATCGAAAAAATGATTTTATAATCATGGTACTTTTGTATGATTTTAAATGCGTGTGTTTACATTGTAGTATTGCTACATTTCCAAAGTGAAATATCTTAATCTTTCGCCGACAGACTCTGAACTTATACCTCTTTTACACCTTTCACTTCAGACTACATTAAAAACACATTAGATTTAAATAAATAAATATTTACTGCCATTACCAATGTACCTCTCAAATAGCATGTTTACTGATTTTGACACCACACTTACAATTCAAATGAGAGCATACTGTGTATCAGGCTGGAAACTGTTGACAGTGTTTCCCATCTGCCAATAAAGCCCCAGCAACGGTCTGGTGGACCAGTATATTGGCAGCGATGCCTCTTCTTTCTTGCTGCCTTTGCTTGACGAAAGATAAAAGAAGCTTGAGCGGAATGGAAAAGGACAAGGTCGGGTTTGACAAAGCATTAGGGTACGGTAGGACGGGTCTCTCTTCGCCTTCGCGACGGAATGATTTGATTTGTTGATATTGGCGTCGCCTGCCTGTCAGCAGAGACCTGCGTGTGAATGAAGGAGCTGGTGTTGGTGCAGGTGAGAGAGGATTATAACAGGTTTAACGCTGCAATAATTGAGACAATTGACTTTTCCCAGCGGCCTCATTTGCAACAACATCCCCCTGTCCCCTAAACTTTATTCACCAAATATGGCAGTGATAAAGTTCAGATTATCCAAATCCAGCAAGATCGTTTTACCTAATGACTGTCAGAACCACTCCACGAGTCCTCAGCCTATGATCTTCATCGCTCCGTAGTTCAAGTGCCACCTGCGTCACACGGTCCGCCCTTATCTGTCTGCAGTCTCTCCCGGGCCGCTGCGTCCTCTGAAGTGTGCCCGTCCTGTCAGATACCCTGTCCTCGTCTTGTCTCGGTTCTGCAGACGGGCGGAGGCAGAAGAATGTCAGCCCGCCAGTATCCAGCTGCTTCTCTCTTATTGGTATTCAGGGCACACGGAGCCGTCCTGAGTGTCTGTTGCACGTGCCAAGGAGGAATGTGGGAAACGAGGGGATGGAAGAAAGTCTACTCTCACCTCAAAACCTCCTCCCTGTCATGTTTTCTGAACTAAAAATAGACTGCGTACTCCCCTTATTTCTTATTCCCAGTTCATCCGTTTCCACGCCCAGCATCCCTCTGTGAATCTCCCTTTGTTTTCTTCTAATCCCCGTCTCGAGGTTTGGTCCAAGTAAACAGGCTCGCTGTTGCCCAATGATAAGACTCCTGAAGCGCAATGCCAGACAGTTTGGAATCTGCTAACAAGCTTGCCTTGATAATGGATTGACTATAGGGGTGATTTCATTTAACACCACATCATTCCCGCGTCCAGCCGGCGCTGTTTAACCACCAAAAATAGAAAAATAATGATTAAAAACATCTACGAAAAACACCTTAGTATCTGCTGATTGCTTAGTGTCAAGTGTCTTTTATGATTTTTTAATTTTAATTGTCTGTTTATGGCTGATAAACAGATGATGGCACGTATTTTTGAGTTTTCTGCATACATATATATATGTGGGCATCGTCTAGCAACCGTTAATAAGTTATATTTCAGCCGATCTTTCAGAAAGAACTCCAGCTTTCTTCTTACTTCATCTACTAATTTTGTATTATCGCTGTTTGAGTGATGAAATCATGGTAGGTGGGCAGGAGGGATATTGGCTTTCAGTGGATTATGTTCTAGCACATGGCCAACCTTGGCTTAGTCATCGCGCCCACTGCCCGCCCACTAAGGAGATGAGAGTGAGAGCGCGAGAGAGAGGCCTTGCCCTAGGAACATTATCCCACCAACAGCCGGGAACACCAGATCATAGTGGATTTAGAAATAGGCAGTAATCAGAAATCAGCGTCCGCTGGAGACTGACAATTGAAAAACGTCCAAACTCAAAGGGGGCTACTCCAACATGAACTAGGAACTGATTGACTGACATTAAAAAGACAGTCATGAAAACCAGGGTAATACAGGAAAAATCTGTGTGTGCAAGCACCTTGGGTCACCTTCAGAAAAGGCGCAGTATCTGTTACGTGTCGCAGGATTATAATAAATAATAATACATACAGCACTTTCTGTTTAGAACTAAAATGTTAAATCTGCATGCCTGCATAGATAAGCATATTAAGTTCTGAAGGGTCCGATGTCAAGCCAAAGGGTGTTCATCCAGTTCCTGCTTGAACCACTATGATAAAATGTTAATATTTTTCAATGAAAAAGTCAATAGAGCTTTAATTTGCATCGGAAGAAAATACTATAACCTTGGTGAATTTGCTGCATAAAGCACAAGATGGCTGGCAAATCTGGAACAGAAACTGCACTAGCCACAGCAATGTCAAGCGAGGATAAATGCCAGTGTTTTTTTTCCAGGGAGCAGGCATAGCGGCTGATTACCTCTCATACATGATTCAATGCTTGTTTTTTTCCCCCTTTTCTTTCCCTCGGGGAGGGAGATGTTGAGGAGTCAGGGGAAATATTGCAGTAATACGCGGGGGACCACAGTGATTCTCAGGGGAGGTGAGGAGGAAGGAGGCCGCGTGTTCCCAAACTGTAGGAGCTGATAAAAGTCCAACTTGTGAGTGCAAGTATCTGTTGGCTTTCTAAATGAAACAGTGACGACACCACCTGTCCATCAAACCCGAAAACAATACAGCAGCTGCTGCTTCTTCTGCAGTTTTGATTATTAGAC